GGAAAAGTGCGAACAACTTTCTAAAGAAAAAATAGAAGGTCTTGGGTTTGATACTTTGTAAGTTGTTAATGTGTTTGATCATAGCTACGGATAAGGTGCAATTTCCAATTACCCTCTTCCACCCCTGAAAAAGGATAGATAACCATAGTTCATCATTAATTATCTTAAAAAAAAAAAAATTTATAACAATTTACTATCCTCTAAAGTGTGTAGTAATTAAGTTACTATGGTTAGCACATTGGTGAAGACTCCTGTAGTTATAACTTATAATAAATTGTTCAACTTTTAATTGTATCAATGTTATTTTTTTTTTTTAATAAAACTTCACGGATATTAAATTTTACATATTCAGTTGGGATAGTTGGTGTGATGTAACCAAAAAATTTGTATATTTCCATTTAAAGTTTGAAACTAGTTTGTTGCATCTGTATACTTTCCTAGTTGGGAAAGTAAGTTTTGACCATTGCCTAACTTTCTCACCAACAATACAAACGAAAGACCAGCAGCTGTTACTATGTAGTATATAGGTACCTCTTGCTCAGGTAGAAGTGTACAAATATACAGGGAAATTATTCGACGACATACATTTTCGTAACACTTAATCTTACCTACTATTGAAAATTTGCATTCTATACGCTAATGGTTATTTTCAATTTTTCTTCCCTTTTTTTTTTTTTTTTTTTTTTTTTTTTTGCGTAAATCACATTTCATATGTGTGGTTTAATCATACTAAGGGTACACCTCATTAGGTTTATTGAGTTTTTTTACAAAATACCCTCATGTTTGAAACATTACACTAACACCTCCTTAGGTTTTAATTCCCTTTCATATATCCCCTCATATTTTAGTTCTTTTTCATATAACCCCTGAGGGGTGTAAGTGTAATGTCTCAAAACGTAAGGGAGTTTTATGAAAACTCGATAAAACTTAATGAGGTGTTAATGTAATTAACCCGTATTATTACTACATCCAATTATTGTTCATGATAAAGTTCAACTTCTTGGGAAATGTGGATCATGGTCTAACTTAAACATGTGAACATGGGTACTTTTACTCCTGTATACAGAATTACAGTGGTACTCACTATTCACCAAATTAAACATCTTACACACTTCGGGTAAATGATAACGAGAGTTCAAGTGTTCAACCTAAAAAGCCTGCGAGCCTACTTCCAGTTCCTCTTGGCTAGCTATGGCTATTAGGTTAAATTGGTCTCTCTGTGTATGTAGGAGCAAGTTAATAGAAAATAGCAATGCACTTAACTTGGATAGATAGAAAAGCATGTGCTGAGGGGGCCGACTGCTCTTTTCACCTTTTGTGATATGCATAGCTACAACCATCCATGTTCACGTTCAACTAATTGTTGCTCCATGCTACATGCTTGTCATTGGATTTTTGTTTATTGAATCCTTAACCGCTTGTTCAACTATATGTTTTCCTGGTGTAATGTCATACATTGAAGTATATTACTTTCGTACTAATGTCCTTAAGCGTGAGTTGTACTACAAAACATTGTATGCGCTCACTTGTACTTAAAGTTTGATAAAAAAACAGTTCTAGACAAAGCAGTTTCGGAATTGTCTTTCAATCCAAAGCATAACTTGTATCCAAATTCACCTACAGTTCGCTCCAAAAAATATAGTCATCCCTACCCTCACGTCCCTTTCTTGACTTGGCATGTGTGCATTATAACTACACCCTTTTGAAAGAATTTCATTTCAATTTCAACAAAGCAAAGAAACGAAAGCATAACTCTTCACTTATTGTCCTCTTACTCTTCTAGCCTGCCTTGTGGGGGTTATTGGGTGTCTACGGCAGATTCAATCGGTCCGTGGTGAAGAGAAATCTTTTCCGATCTTCCACTAAAAAAACAAGAAAGGTATCTTCACGACAACTACATTTGCTCATGAAACTACTCCGTGGATCCCCGTGGCTAGTAAAAAGGAGGGGAGATTTTATCTTCGTTTGGGGGGTCATTTCGAAACATTTTGTTAAAAGACAAACAAAGATGTTAATGCTATTATATATGCTTGTTTGGGACAAGCATGTGGTAGTTAATTACGTAATTTTGAAGGAAAAGCATCTGTATTATAAAATATGTAAACATTTGTCGATTGGTGGAAGGTTCCCGAGTAGAGAATAGAGACAAGTGTGATCCAAGTTTAGTCCCCATCACCTTATGTAACTGTTGGGTAACATTTCTTGATCATGATATGCTTTGATGTCGACTCACACACTTCAGTTTTAAGCAACATGAGGATGATCTTTTTTTCTTCTTCTCATAAATCCATTAATTAATTTCACAAATAAAATAACAAAGAGATGATTTTTGCATTTTTCTTTTCATAAACACTTTTCCTTGTACACTAATGTTTTTGTTTGGATATGTTTTTAAAATAACTGAAAGCGCTTTTGGTGAAAATATTTTTCGAAGCAATCCTTAGTAAAAATGCAAGTAAATTCTGGAAAAGCACTTTAAGTGCTTTTGGAACCAAAAAATATTTTCTCTAAAAACGTTTTCAGTCATTTTAAAAGCACATCCAAACGATATTTGAACTGAACAAATAACAAAAAATCAAGAGACAAAAGCAAGAGAAAAAGTGTGAGAAGAGAAAACGCATTTCAAAAACACTACTTAATTCGATGATAGAAACTAACAAATAATTTAGCACATGAGAAATGCTAAGAGGACTTTCTTGAAAGTAGATCTCTCTGACACCTCACAGTTTAATGTCAACTTTGGCGTCAACATTATAAAACATTTTCCAAAAACATAAGATGTCAAAGAATCTATAAAGAATCTCAATTTTAAAGAGTCTTCTTAGCATTTCTCTTAACCAATTCATCCAACACTTCCCTTTTAGCTTCCTTCATTTTTTTTTTTTTTTTGGAAACTTTTAGCTTCCTTAATTAAGAATCCAACACAAATCACAAAAGGAGGTCCGCTCTTGAACTTCTGAACTTTCAACGGGCAAATCATCTGTGCGCCCTTTGTTTCACAATTAGGAACAATACTAGTTAATCCACAATTAGGAACAATATAAACTCTAATTACGAAGTCTAGTTAATTGGCAGTACATGATGCTAGTTTTTTTTTATTTGGGGGGGGGGGGGGGGGGGCGGGGGCGGGGAATTCATTAATTAAACAATGCGAGATAAATTATGAACTTGTTTGGATGTGCTTTTAAAATAACTTAAATTGTTGTTAGTGAAATTGGTTTTGGGTTCCAAAAGCACTTATAGGAAACACTTCAAGTGATTTTTCAAGATTCACTTGCAATGTGCTTCTTGCATAAAGCAGGCACTTCAAGTTTGTTTTTTTATTTTTTTTCTTCTTCCAAAATTCACTTGCATTTTGCTAAGAATTATTTTCAAAAATAATTTCATCAAAAGTACTTTCAATCATTTTAAAAACACTTTACAACAAATCTCATATGAATCATAGAGAGGGTGCAGGCTCAGAGGTGGGTCTGGGTGATTGGCAAAGTCTTTGCATTAAAAACAAAAAACAAATTATACAGATAAAAGTCAGCACCTCTAATTATAAGCACATAAAGAAATCATGGAATCTTGTTTTTGTCTTTTTTTTTTTGTTTTAACAATACTTGAATACTTAAAGATGTGTAGAACTCCTACTCAAAATTTTTAGTATTTTAATCACAGATTTTTGTGCTTAAATTAGAACTAAGGTCGTTTAGTGAATCTATTGTAACCAATACATAAACAATTCGTAATGTTTTTATCAATGTCATTCGTTTGTTTTTAAACAGTTTAATGACTAAACGACCTTAGTTTTAATTGATTTTTTGCAAATGCAATTTTTATAGGATGATTAATAATATGAACGATTCTGATTATAAACATGAAGTTCTATAAATTGACAACGAACAATTTTGAGTATGAGTTTCTACTCATATTTAAGTAATTAAATATTATGTTTTTTTTTTTTTTTTTTTAAATTTGTTAACCTCAATGTTTCTGGCCAAATGTGTTTGTTTATGCTTTAACTTGAACCTGATGAGGGCAGATTGGAGGTCCAACGTATTATTATTATACTTTTATAAACATGGAATCTCGATCTCTTGGTTATTGGGCAATTACGATTTTATGATAATTTATCTTTGGGTTTGATATTAAGAGTTGAGATTAAGGAAGTAGAATTCTCTCCCATCCTATTACCATCACCTTCTTTCTTCCTCTCACACTTTCCTTTTTGTTTTTATAAAAAAAAAAAAAAAAAAAAAAATGTTATTGGCACTTCAAAAATCTCATTCTACATTCCTCACAAGTGTATTTTTCTTCCTAATATAGAATGTTTGGAGTGTAGAATGAGATTTTTGAAGTGCTAATAACAATTTCCATAAAAAAATCAATATAAGATGTTGACATGGTATAATTGCAACCATTCAAATAGGAGAAGAGAAAAGAGAAAAGTCATTAGAAGGAATAGAATCTTCCTTTGTGATTAAGGCATTACATCCATTTACTCTTCACCTTTGATATCTAATCAAAAGCTGAGTGACCAGCATTCCTCAGTCGTATCGTCTTCCACCGTTGCACTTACCACCCCCTTCCTAAAATATAATTGTTCTTAACCAACAGAGTTTGTAGCTCAATTGATCCCCTATAACCGATGTCTCGAGTTTTCCTTATCCAATATTGCTCGTGTAAGAAAAAAAAATGACATCCATTGACCAACCATCGAACAAAACGCAGCTTACAAGTCCCAATTCTGTATGGGAGGGATCTCTATAGGATTGGATTGGAGAAGACTCCATTCTGATGGGAGGTTACTCTATTGGATTCGACTGGATAACTCACTCTCAATCCCGTCTAAACGAAAAGGGTGGTTCACTTTTCAAATACGGGACAAACATCTATTGAGCAAGTAACGACATTAGAACTACATCTTAGTTGCAAGAGAGATTCTATCCGTCTAGACAGCAACCACCAAATGAACATAGTAATGAAAACTTTTAGGGCACTTAACAATACTGATATATGCTGGAACACATTCACTATGGAAAATTAGTGCACTTACAATTAACGAAAATATGCCTCGGGTTAAAAAAAAAAAAAAAAAAAGAAATTAAATTCCCGAAACAATCCAAAAACGTGTATTTCAGCATTCAAAAACATTCTCGGATATACTAAAGAAGCAAAATTTCCCAAGCTAACATGTAAACATCCAGCAACGAGCTCAAGAAATGGAAAATGAGTAAGCAGACTATCGCTTCTTGGAGACACCAACAGTCTTTCCTCTGCGACCGGTGGTCTTGGTATGCTGCCCACGCACCCGGAGACCCCAGTAGTGACGGAGACCACGGTGGTTCCTGTCATATTACACACACTCACCAACTCAATCGTATATGATAAACGGCTAAAGAGAGCAAACAGTATCACAAATACAAGAAAACCCAATCAAACTGGATTGTGAAATCCATGTTAAGAAGGCATTGTGAAATGCAGCACACAAATGACACGTATCAAAGGAACAACTACTAATAGTCGATAGCAAACCTGATCTTCTTCAAGCGTTCGAGGTCGTCCCTCAGCTTCATGTCCAATGCATTCGAAACAACTTGAGAGAACCTCCCGTCCTTGTAATCTTTCTTCCTGTTTAAAAACCAGTCTGGAATTTTGAATTGGCGAGGATTCGCAACAATCGTCATGAGGGTATCAAGCTCCGCGGCAGACAGTTCACCAGCCCTACAATGAATCATCCACATCAAACCCAAAATTTCCGACAACAAACTGGTTTCTCTTTATGCACTACCACTACTACAATTAACTCAGCCAGCACAACATATACAATGCATTCAAAATGAATCATTAAAAGAGAAAATTTAAGCATAGACTCTGCCAGAAGATAACAATCAATAGCAAAAATCAAACAAACCAAAACGAGTATGGTGATATGATCACAATTCAACCACAAACATATGCATAATCAAACTTTCACTTCATCTAAAAGTCTGTTTTAAGAGGACTAACATGGAACGGGTTCACCATCATGTGGCCTCCTTTGTCCAATAATGAATTGCCATGTGCAAGTTTTTCTTCACATGGCAATGTATTATTGGGTTGAGATGCCACAAGGTGGTGATCCCGTTCCATGAAAGTTGCTCTCCTGTTTGCAACTTCTGTCCTAAAAGTGGTTTCTGACAACAAAAGGAGCTTCTACCTATGTTCGGCTGAAAAGTGTAAATGTGCTTGTGTGTCATAGAAGCCCTTCCTGTAGAAGCAACTGCCATATGCTTCTTCAAGAATCACTTCTAAGTGCTTCTCCAGAACGCACTTCTAGTGCTTCTCGAGGAAGCACTCCTATGTGCTTCCTATTTTTAATAAAAATTGCTGTGCGTTACAATAAAATCACTTCTAACAGAAGTGCTTCCTACAGATGCAGTCCTAAGCAAAAGCAATTGGATTTCAAATATTCATGCAAAATCAGATGAAATTGGAAAAGGGGAGTCGAAGAGAAGGGGCACCTCTTGTTCATGTCGACGTCAGCCTTCTTGCAGACAATGTTGGCGAAACGACGTCCGATACCTTTGATGGAGGTTAGGGCAAACATAATCTTCTGCTTCCCGTCCACATTGGTGTTCAGCACACGCAGAATGTGCTGAAACTCTTCGTTCGCTACCAGAGACTGCAGCAGATTCCAATTCACACACACATAAATTAACTTCATATATTAACAGACATTTGACATATATATTAGTACGCAAGGAGAGAGAAAGTAGAGAGAGAGAGAGAGAGTGACCATGGCTAGCTAGGGTTTTGGATCTTGAAGCTTTTGGAGCAGCTCTGCGCCTGTGTGTGCCGTGAAGACGGAAGTGAAGCAAACAGAAACCCTAGAAATAGCCGTCGCGGCCTTTGTGACTGATTTTATATGCCCACCCAATGGGGCATGGCCCAATATAAATGAAATAGCCCAATATTTCGTTTAGTTCTTTTCTTTTCAAGCCCGGTCGATAAAATGACCAACAACATCAAGTATGGCCCGGGCTCGAAGCAGATGTGAGTTACGTTAGTTAATTAAGGTGTTGTGTCTATCATTTTGATTACGAGAGAAACTTAGATAGATTCATAGATTGGGTACACGGTCACGGTGCTTCCCGGCCTATTAACACAATGTCACATGTTAATCTCACTTCACATGGCTTTGTGTTGAAAGACAAAAATGACACTGTGATGGTGATCGTTCGATTAAGTCTTTCTCCTTGATCACAAGTTCAAATTTCATTTCCAAGTTAAAGTAGTTTAAAATATTGCTTTGTTTAAAAGATGCTTGTTCTATAAGGCATTTTACAATAGTTTGAGTGACTATGAGATATATATATATAAGAATCATGCAACTTGATTTTGATAATTATAACACTACTACTACACTAGCGTGGGTTCAATATTGGCATCACATTCAAATTTTCAATCCAATGTAGGAGTGTTATTCCTGTACGAGTTCAATATATTGGTATCACACTCACTTTTTCTGAGCTACTATGGAAGGCCTAAGGGGTTTTATTAGTGAATTTTTTTTTTCTTCAGTATGTTTCATAAACTAACCTTGATTATAAGAGCAGATATTCAAACTCGGATGTACGAGAGACGTCAACTTTGACTATTCTACTCCACGTGATTTTTAGTTACTTTGTCTTGCACCTATAAATAAAGAAAAATGAGAAAGCGGGGGAAGAAAAAAATACGTAGGAATATGAGGTTTTGGAGTGTCAATAAAACCTTCTTAAATCAAAAGGTAAATGATGAAACGTATTACGAAGAAAATTTTACCTTATCATAGATTGAACACAATCATGGGTCTTATTGAATGAACAGTTTATATACAAAAAAATGACCGTACACTACCGATGATGCTTAAGAATCTCTCTTTACTACGAGTTTTTAGTGATATCTCCGTCACGGTGACAGAACAAAAAAAAAAACTTTCAACAATTAATAGCAAGAGATCTATACAAAAATGATAGGCTTTTTTTTTCATAGTTGAAGCAAATGAATCGTTTGATAATACAATGAGCACCAGGAGGCCAAAACTTGCGAACCCACCAAAGCCATAAAATGCTATAAAGTCCGGTAATTCTAACTTCTGTACTTTGCGACCCCAAAAATGGGAGTGATTTACGCACACCCTTTCCAACTTCTGCACTCTTCTTAAATCGGGTCATTGATTTTCCATTGATTTGTTCAATCCAGCGGCTAGAAAAATAGAGACGTGCGGAAGGTGAAAAAAATAGCATGCACGAATCATTCCCCGGAAAAAAACTATACATTTACTCCCCAGTTTCCAACAATGGGAGAAGCATGGCTTGTAGCTCCAAGTCTTAAGGAACCAAAAACTGTATTGCTTTCTAACAAGCGATAAGATCAGTTTTCAACCCTTTGCCAAAACACTTCTACTACTCTTTCGCCGTTGGAGACTCTGCTGTTACGGAAAAGCCTCCTGGTTTTACTTGTCAGTATATCGACATACGACATCACCTAGCCTGGTTTGATAGAATAACCGCCTCTGAAGTACCCCCAACGGACGTGCAGTGAAGAGCCACAGCAGGGGTATTGCTCGAGTTGCACTGTGTGGGACTTGTATTATCAACCTGAGAATTGAGTTCTGATTGCTTTACGGATATTGTGTTCTGAGACTCTTCCGGGGTTAAGTTCAAATCAGTAACCTCCAGGGAGTTGGCATGTCCACATGTAAGATGAGAATCTCTGTCAGCTGGAGCAGATTCAACTTTATAAGTGTCGATCCCGTTGCCTTCAAACCCATGTGCAACTTTATGAGTGTTGAGCCCATTGCCTTCAAACTCATCTGCTTTCTGGTGAGACAACAGGGGAGTCGGGTTTAGTACATCTCTGGCAACCTTGCTAGGTTCAGTCAGAATTTCAGAGCCATAACACTCGATAGATTCTGAATGCACCTCAACAATCACTGCAGGTGTATGATGAGCAGCAGTATGGTTATATTCCGGTGCACAAGTTTCAGGCATCTTTCCATCTGGGCAGGAAATAGATCCTGAAACCTGCAAATTTTGAGAATCCTGATGCTTAAGGTCGCTTGCCTCTTGAGATGCCCGAGTTGTAGTTTCTGAATCATGGCAGACAGTAGTTTCATCAGGAACTTTTGCTTCATGTACCATGCTCTGCAGCTCAGTGGCATTTTCAGTAGAGCGCTGCAGCTCAGTGGCATTTTCAGTAGAGCGCTGCAGCTCAGTGGCATTTTCAGTAGAGCGGCAAATAGATCCTTCGTCATAAGCATCGTGATTCTCAAACGTGTCATCTTCTATTCTGACCTCACAATCAATTTTTTCAGTGACCTCCCTGGAAGCAGAAAGAATCATTACACAAGAGTCAGTGGCATCAGAATCACTACGATGTGACGTCAAAGATTTGCTTTCGACTTCAGGCATGATATGCTGGCCTTGTTGGGTCTCCACTTCCACTGTGGCTACATCAGGAACTGAAGCAGAACTCTGATATTCATTAACCTCCTCACTTTGTTCATGAACGTCACAAGTTGATTGAGGAGGAATGCTTTTCTCCTCCAGATTATCCTGAGAAACACCACAGATATGCTGTGTATTGGATTCAAAATCAGCAAGTTCATCAGTTGCCTCGTTTCCACAGCGTGCTGATGCTTCACTTCCAGACGCAGCCAAACGTTTGTCATTAGTATCACATAAAACGTCTTGCTTGAGTTGCTGATCCTCAAGTTCGGTGGACCTCACACCTACAAGAGCAAATACAGCGTAAGTCATACAACAAGAAGATACAATTGACAGAAACAATGTGCTAAATCCACACATGCTCATTTCTGCTGATTTCCTAAATACCTTCAGCAAGAATCATATTTGCTTCTGGTAAGTGCTTCGACAATGGCTTCTCTAATATATCTACACCAGGGAAAACCAATACATTCATGTTTTTCATCCTCTGCTTGCTTGATCCTTCAAGGGGCTTAAAACCAAAAACAGAAGTCCATGTTTCTCTGAGTTCCAAGATCGCAGGTATAACCAATCTTTCAACATTCAATGAGCTGAGAGCCTAATCGTGGATCAGAAAAACCGCACAAAAGAAATAGAAAGTTAGGGATCAGTACATAGTGAGGACACAAAAAGATTCTTCTTAAAGTTATGAAAGTGTAAGGACAAGGAAAAAAAAAAAGCAAAGGCGTTTGAACTGAACAATGACCATACAGATTCGATTCCAGTTAGAAGCCGACGGCACATTCCTTGACGCCTAAACATATAGCGGGTCCCAATAAATGGCATCTCTGCTAAATAGTTCCCATGAATCCTGATCGACCAAGCAGCAACGTAGTGTCAGAACATAATTGCATACAACACAAACTCATAAAAGCCATTCTACTTGCTTAGAATTACAGCTATGTATAACCCAATGCAAGAGAGGAATTACAAATAAATAATAAAGAAAGCAAGGGGAGCGGGTTTTAAAGAATGATCACAACCATTATTTTAACAGTAAATCTTCTAGCCATGAGAAGGTGAAATGTAAGTTTGAATTCTTCTGATTTTTTGCTTCCAAGTTAATTGGGTAGGGAGAGATGGAGCAGCAGAAAATAAATTCCAATCAAACTCATTGGTTCCAGAACTTCCTTTATTCAGCAATAGAAGTCCCTATCAGCATTGAGCAACTAGAATTCTGAACCAGGCTAATCTGCTAATTACTAAAGTTATGGTTGGAAAGAAAGACTCGAAGCGACATCCCAAGTTTTGGCATCATTTACAAGAAATATAGCCACAAAATCGATACAAGGCAATTCAGAAAATGAACAATAACTGGGTAATTGGAAAGGCAACCTTTACAGCTCAATGTTTTTTTTATTTTTATTATTATTTATTATTGTTCATTTGGCTGAAATTTTCTACAAGACTCAGTTTGCAGTCCGTGTTAAAACTATTTGTCAGAATAACTTGCCCAGAACTAGTAGAAATTGCATTGATTAACTGTGATGTAGGAGGCAGTAACATACCGGATGGATGCTGCTGAAATGATCTCATCACCTCTCTCTAGAATTGCAGTTAAGAAACCACTATAATTCAGTCTGCTAAAATTTGACCTGGATAATTGAAAATTATAAAATCATTAATAAAAGTATATATTTCTACACGTTAAAAAGTGGTGAAGAGATAATTTGCAATATATGGAATGAAAGATTCTTTCAAACTTGTTTGAATGCAAAGTATACCCACATAGAAGATAAAAGGACAAAGTAAATTATGTAGAGTTCTCTACATAAAATTAGAAAAAAAACAAAAATTTATTTTCATATGGTCAAGCACCAAAACTTTACCTAGGTACATAATTCTAACATCCACCACCTTGAACTCGAAACATATTTATATTATTATGACCATCAAACATGTTCACAGTGAGATACTGCACACCGTCGTACTTATTCCAAGACAAAGACATTATACTAGTCCAAACCAATTAAAAGTAGTTTGGTATCCACATAGACATACACGCACACAAAACTGCGGATTAAAGTATGCTTACCCACGATTATACAGAATATTATGAATCAAATTGACTCCACTTCTGTGGTCAACCATAGGCAAAAAACACTCGTCCATTATTAAAAATGCAACAGCCAGCTTGGAGTTGCATTCAATTAGCTTTGAATCACAATCATCCGTCTGTGGTGTGTCACAAATAGAAATTGAGCTGATATCAGATCGGCGAATCATAGTCAATGAAAATCCTTCTTCAATTTCTTGCCTCACTCCAAGAAGCATCTGAAGACTCGCAAATAGCTGCCATGACAAAAACATTATGAATTACATACAAATGGCGACAATAGATAATGGATAGACAAATTGATCAAAAGAATTTCTCTGAGATCTCGTTAGAATTAAAACTGAAAAGTGAAAACAACTCAAATTCATAAAACCTCTAAATCTGCATGCAATGTTAATAATTCCTATATACATAGATAACGCTTTGTAAGCATCTCTTTAAAACTAGTGTAAGCAATCTTCCTACAACTGAAGCATTAAGAAAAACTGTCAAATCTTTTAGCCCCTGTTGCATGCAGATCCCGAATGCGTGCAGCACAATATCATTTTACTACTACAAATAGTACATGAAACTACGGATGCATGCACCAAAGCCCACACAAATATTGCAATCCCAAGCTAATGTTACAACAAATGTAGTACCTCTTGACAATTCTTCCCACAGAAGGATGGACCATTAAAATCATCATTTACAGCATCCTTTGCCTGAATACAGGATTGGTGAACTAAAAAGAAAAGGTTTTTTAATCAGATTTTGCCAAATGTACTGAATTTGGGTAACGCAGATCAAATACTAATAACATTAAGGGAAAACCAAATCTAGCACGGAAAACGAAAAAGGATAGAATGTAGAGTTAATACATTTTTCCTCACACACATGGCAGGTAACTAATGCTGACGCTGCTAAATTGTCAGTGTCAGTGTCAATGCCATTGCTTTCGCATATATTACCGCCAAACTTCCCACAAAATTTGCATGAACAATATACACAATGCCAATCACCTGAGGGGAACTTCTGCAAAATATAAGAATAGAGTTCTCATCTGCTTCAAAACAAACCAGAGGTATAAATGATCTCCAGTTTCTAGGCATATCAAAATGCTTCCAGTTAATTCTCAGGACATCCCAGATTCCCACTATGCAATTAGTTAAAGTGATACCCCAAGGGCACTATATATTTACAACAGTCTTAGAGGGCAGAATGGGCAATGATAAAATGGCGATATAAATGTTTATTCATATAGTTAGAACAATTTATAATTGGCTCTACAAACGTACCTTTATCTCTAAACAATTTTGGTGGAATGTTGATGGACAGCCATCACAACAAATCAAGTACCCACCATCTCCACAGATTCCACACGTATCATCGTTTGGGTCTTCCCTGTTAACACCCACGAAATGAAATCCCCGACGTTCATATTCATCCTGTTTATTCCATGAGTCAAGTAGGCATTGCAAAAGTGTAGACCCTGAGTCTACATATATATGTTTAAACGGCTCAGAGTAATCACTTTTGGCGTGGGTTACAAACTTCGAAATTGGGATTGTTTCTCCACAGCAACCACAATGAATTCCATCTCTTGTAATGTTACCCTCAAGAAGCACCTGTGTCTTTCTCTTGTTCATGTACTTCACTTTCGAATTAAGTGATAGGGTTCCCAAATCAATCATCCAGGCAAGTACTGTTCTTTTCCCGTCATATGGTACATGGCCATCATTATCTGAATCCGCATTCTCAGAGTTCCGAACCAACAGACCACATCGCTTTCTATTTTTTGTCTTATGTAAACTTCGCCTTCCCTTGCACGCTGCATGTGCTGAATCATCCTTCTCAATAAGTAAACGTTTCCCCTTGAATGGCCTACCCAATTTCTTTTTCTTTTTCTCTCCAATAACTCCATCCACTGCATTCCTGGCCTTTTTCTTCTTTTGCTTTTCACTAATCCCGCCCTCCATTCCATTTTTCCCCTTCTTCCCTTTCTTTTTCCCCACCCTTTTCACAATTTGTATCCTTGCTAACATGTCAATTTCCTCTGGTGGTATCGGAGTAAATTTGAAGCTAGGCTTACAAAATTCGGAATTATTTTCACCATTTTCACAATTCATTTTTAGGGTTGTGTAAGCCTTGGTGACTGACCAGTGAGTCTGTCCTGCTGGAGTTACATACACTGCATCCTTGTAATCTCTGCCATTCCTAGGCCTATATTGAATGGTCCAACCTGCACGCATAATTAGATCCACTATTTTATCTCTCACTAACTGTTTTTGCTTACTTCTGGCGCAATCTCGATCCTGACCCTTCTGCTTTTTTTTCTGTTCTTTATTTCCCTTCTGTTTCTGTTTCCATTCATTATTTCCTTCTCCATCCTCACTGTCCTCATTCTCCAAATCATTTCCTTTTTTATCCCTTTTAGCTGGAGAAAAGGCCTTCACATCAAACTCTTTCCCAATATTCCTCCTTACCAGATATGAACCGTTAGTTGTCATATTCACTTTAATTCTTTCTCGTGATCTCAAAACCATATTGCCTTCCTTAGCAAGCTTTCCTTTCAAACCCACATTAGTCTTTTGCACCTTAAGTGGTCTCTTGTGCTGCAATTTTGACTTCTTTCTCAACGGACCAACCGACAGATCACTCTCTTCCGTTTGTACCTTCTTAGGTCTCCCGCGCTTACGTTTCTGTAGCATGGCACCCGAACCATCACTTTCTTCCTTTTCCACCTTGAGTAGGCCCCCTCTCTTTCCTTCCAACTTCTTTGCAAAACGTTCAACCAACTGATCGCCCCCTTCGTTGTTAACCTTGGAAGATTTCTTGCGAGACCCATCACTCCCTGCCTTATCACACACCCCATTCACCACAACTCGTGACCGCAGAATCCTAACTGTAGTTAGCACATCTTCCTTGACCTTTTTCTTCTCAAGAGCATCATTATCAATTTCTTCACCATTATCAACCCGCCTCCTTTTCTTCCCAGTCTCACCTACTCCCACATTTTCACTCTGGCCCAACAGATCAACCCCTTCATCTTTTACCTCATTACATTGCTTGTCAGACCCATCACTTTCTCTACTTTCGGCATCCAGAACACTATCACTCACAACCTTATCACACCCTCCATTCACGGCTGACTGTGACCACAGAACTCGACCAACAACTTGCACTTTACCATCCACCTCCATTTCCTTCCTCCTTTCATTGTTTACCTCACTACATTGTTTCTGAGACCCGTCATTTTCTCTACTTTCCGCAACCAGTTCCCCATTGCTCACCTCCTTATCACCCCCTCCATCTGCCGCTAACTGTGATCGGAAAACCAGCCCAAAAATTCGCACTTCACCATCTGTCTCTTTTTCTTTCACCCACTTTATCTCAACACCCTCATCACCAATTTCTTCACCATTACCAACACACCTCTTCTTCCCACTCTCAGCGGCTCCACCATTTTCAGTCCCACCCTCCTCGCCACCCTCCCCGACAAATTCTTTCTCGGGTTCCTCCGCCCCGCCCGAAACCAAATGCCGGGTTTTCTCCCCGCCAGAATCCAAACCGCCCTGTTTCAACTCATCCCCTTTCTTCTGAACACCAATTTGCTTATCCCTCTCACCCCTTACCTTCCCAGATCTCAACATCTCTCGCGATACACCCTAATCACAGAAAACCCACTTCAGTTTTGATCTTAATTACACAAAACCAACAGCTAAAAAGCTCTTCTCTCAAGAATTAACCCTACCCTGTAACCAAAAAAGTAAAGAAAATATTTACATAAAAATATATACTATATATGGAAATCAGTAAAATGTTTTGAGCGTGTACGGACTGACCAGATCACCAGCCGCGACAATGGGTTGACGAAGGTCCCAGTCAATGCAAAGTCACGGGGGGAAATTCTGATGCCTCTCTCACGAGCGCGTGCGCGGCACGTGACCCAAAAGCTTCAGTGGTTCAGCCATGGCGCTTTGTGAAATTGGGGAAGAAATTGAAGGGGAGAGAGATTCTTGATAGAGACAAGGAAGCCTTTGGGGATTTGCAAGCTTTCCCTTTGCTTTTTTATTTTTTATTTTTTCGGGGGTGATTTTGTGGTTTTCCCTCCATAAATTACAACAAATTGGAAATTTCTGTTTTAATTTAAATTTTTTTTTTTTTTTGGTGAGGTGGATGGTAATCTTTTGTCACATGGGGCATAAGTCCTTTTCTCACGGCACCTTTTTCTATTAATTAATTGATATCTTGTTTTGAACGATTAATTATTAGAAACTTTAACGAAAATTTTCTGGTACTATTTATTTTAACGAAAAATCATATTTTTATACTAAAAAATCAATCTTGGTACTATTCAATCTACATTTTATTTTGTCTTTATCGTTAAAGCTTAAATTTTCAAGCCTTTTTTTAATTAGTTTTCCTTTAATTAATTGATATCTAAATTGTACATATTTGTTTATTTTAATATTTGACTCTTCAACTTACCATATTATCTCAATTTACAACGCTTAATTTTTCTTTTGTTGTTAATAAAAAGTTTACGATAGTCACTTAGTGTTATGATTTATTGGTATTCATCTTTGAGTGAGAGATTTTAGTTTTGATTCTCGTCAAAAGTGAATTTTATGAAGGTTCATTGAAGCCTACCCCACCTTCTCTTAGTGTAGATAATATCGTTTATTAAAAAAAAAATTACAATGCTTAATTAGTTTTGATAATTATCTTTATTTTGGGTTTTACTCCATTGTATTGAAGGTTTGAAGTAACGTCTGGGATCTTATTAATTGGTGAAATTATATTAAATAGATTTTGATCTGTTATTAACTTAGGGATCGTTTAAAAATGTTTTTAAAATAACTAAAAATATTTTTTTGTGAGGTGGAGTAATGACTCGTTTGAATGTACTTTTAAAATAACTACAAGCGATTTTAGAGAATATGTTTCTGGGTTCCAAAAGCACTTAAAGTGCTTTCTGCAAAAAGTATCAGTTATGTACTTCTTCCAGAAAGCACTTTAAATGTTTTTTCAAGATTTATTTGCATATTTACTAAAGATTGATTCTAAAAATATTTTCACTAAAAGTATTTCCAGTTATTTTAAAAATACATTTAAACGAGATGTAAGTCATTCTAAGTCCGAACGGAATCGAGGACATTGAAAACTTGTGTTCCTAAATTGACCGAAAGACTTGTGAGTTTGTTTATGATAAGGTCGACAATGAGTCACAAAAACAGTTGGATCCTGTCTTGTAATGTGCGACCAATGGATTCTGTCACCCACCAACCAAGGAGCCTAATAGGGGCAAAGCTTAATTAGCAAATTAATCCTACAAGCGTTGCGTAAATTAAAGACGTTCACATCATGGTTAAGGTAAGTAATCCGTTTTGTTTGGCCGGATATGGTAAGTAATCTTATGAAATTAAGATAAAATGGCAAGCATTTCTATGAAATAATCATGTCTTTAAGGACATAGCGAATGAATAAACGAATGGACTGTGGATAAAAAAATAGCGACAAATTGATATTTTTACTTACTTGAAAACAAAACGTTGAAAATGGAAAATATAATAATTGAGAATGTGATCGACTACTCCTTAATCAATCGAATTCATCATGGTTCATGCATGCAATACAAAATGCATTTTGAGACTTTCCAAATTTTCTTTATTTCATGCATCGGAGAGTGCTTAACTCTCGAGCTGATCATGCACTCTCCGAAAGAAACAAGCCCCATTGTATTTGAGTATCATTCAAGCTCGTGTGAGCACAACTTTCAATAACCGGTTAAGCACTCTCACAAAGAAGCAATTCATGCGTCGGAGAGTGCTTAACTCTCGAGCTGATCATGCACTCTCCGAAAGAAACAAGCCCCATTGTATTTGAGTATCATTCAAGCTCGTGTGAGCACAACTTTCAATAACCGGTTAAGCACTCTCACAAAGAAGCAATTCATGCGTCGGAGAGTGCTTAACTCTCAAGCTGATCATGCACTATCTGAAAGAAACAAGCCCCATTGTATTTGAGTATCATTCAAGCTCGTGTGAGCACAACTTTCAATAACCGGTTAGGCACTCTCACAAAGAAGCAATGCCCAACTAGCTAGTTAGACACTCTCATAAAGAAACATGCCCGAGAGTTGCAAAGGAAATGAAATCTCGCATGTTTAGGTAACATCCGAGATTTCCTTTCCTTTGAATGGTTGGGTAGGTAAGTGCGAAGTAAATAAACATGCGAATTGATGGTTTACATTTCGTTACTGAAAAGTTAGAACATACATAACATTCCACAACTCATTAAACATCATAACATTTTTGATGAAATTAAAACATCCCAAAATTTCATGCTCGCTAACAAAAGAAAATAACAAGATGCAGCTAGGCTGATGACACAGAACCCTACTGCGAACACATACGATCCCAAAACATGCAGAAGCTCATTTCTTCTTCGCCTTGGCAGCATCACCGGCCTTTGTCTGCACATATAACATTTGAAAATGTTAAACCAGCTCAAGAAAACATCAGGGTAAAACTTTAAGCTGAAAACATTGAAAAGGTTCGATAGCCAGTGTTTCCAATTCCAGGGCGTACCCACTGCTTAAGGTAATACATTCCCTACCGTACCGTCACATTTTACTAGCACTAACCAGGACAAAACAATAACAATATCGTTACCTTCTTAACTCCACGAATCTTCTTGGCTCTGTTCTTCCTTTCCTTGAGTTGTTTCCTTGATTTTTCAACCTTTGTATCCAGTCCATTCTGCACAAGTAGCCAAGTGTGAGAGATGACAACAGACAAATATATATATATATATGTGTGTGTGTGTGTGTGTGTGTGTATGAGTATGTAGAGAGAGAGAGAGAGAGATCTCAAAATTTATAAGGTCAAAGAGACAAGCTTTGAGAGCCATATGCATTTCATGCCAAACAAACGACAGATTCTTTGACTGAAAGAAGCCTATAGACTGTGAAACTACATACAAATCAGCAAAAGGAATTGCAAAACCCGCTTTTGTAACATTTCAAGCAATTGTTCAGATCAGCACCCCAATAATGGAAGAATATAAATATACAGGAAGCAGCGAAAAGAAACACTATACTCAACGATATTAAAGTAAGAACCCACTCTAAAACCATGAATCAAATACTAACTAAATGAGCGAACTTAAATAGACAGATGAACCTCCTCCAACAGTTAATCAACAACCACACAGAAATTTTGTATCAAGCTCATTCCAGAGAAGTGTTATTTTTAAGATCCTCTCTCTCTCTCTCTCTCTCTCTCAGTCTCATTTCTGCCAGTTCCAACCCCAATACGCATTGGATTTGTTCAAATCCAACACCGTACAAGGGAACCGGCCATACCATATAAATATAAAGATACATTAACGCACATTTTGAATCACTACAGAGGTTAAAAACAGATATTTGCCAATATGCAAGTACCACATAACAAGATGGGAGCGAATAAGATAAGTTACCCTGATCAGCCTGTACTTGGGCTCGTACTTCTTGGCATTCTCTACAGAATCATAGATCAAACCGAAACCAGTAGACTTCCCCCCTCCAAAATGGGTGCGGAACTTGAATACAAAGATGGCATTTGGGTCCCTCACCTCGTACAACCTCGCAAGTTTCTCCTTCAACTCCGCCTTCATTACAAAAACAAACAGAAACCCATTTCAATCAACATTTCTTTGCCCCATTATTACAATTGTACTTCTGCCATCTCTTTAACAAAACCATAAAAACCATAAAATAAATAGATCTAGCAGTAAAAGTGTCCTAAAAGAATTGACACAGAACCGAGCGCAATGACGCTATAGGATTCATATAGATGACCTCATTTAGTGGGAAAAGGCTTTGTTGTTGTTGTAATAAAACAATCCTAAAAATTGGACAAACCCATGATTTCAAATTATATATTTTCAAAACCAACACCAAATATACAGAAACAATTCCCCATTGAAAGAAAGAAACCAAACCTTTGAGACATTGGGTCGGCCAGGATGCAGAACATCGATGACCTACACATCGAAACCAAAAAATCACACAGTAAAATCAGCCGACCAGGTAAAAAAACACATCTGGGTAATTTTCTATGTCCTTTTTCCTGCATTTTCTAGTTGACCAAACAGGGAAAGTACTCACGAATTGCTTTCTGGAGAGAAGGCGATTGGTCATGAACTTCCTCGTACGGATCGTCACTGCCTTGGTATCCGCCATGGCTCTCTCTCTGCGCCTCCGCTCTGTGTTCGGTTGGGGACTGTGTACGAGAGGTTTGCGCGTTTGAGAAGGAGGGGGTGATAGGAGGTTTTTAGGGTTTCGAATTGGACTATGCATCTTTTATAGAGCGGTAAAGCCCATTTTCTGAAATGTTTGGGCCGATCGAAATCGTAATGGTAACTCCGGCCCAACCTTTTTTTAGGACATTTTTCTTTTCTTTTTGCAAACATAATCTCCAATATAAGATTTTATCTAATCGAAATTGTTTTTATTTTTAATTATTTAAAAATGAAACTAGCCAATGGCTTCGCTCATGATAGTTCACTTTTTCGAAGGTCAGGAAAATTTGTAGAGACATTTTAATCTCCCATGGTCACCCTCATACGATTCACTAGCATAAGGAATCGAACCCAAAACGTACCGTATGGATTACGGACCTGAAATTTGTTACCAACCACAAACCATCCCGTGGTGATTATCTAATCAAAATTGTTGGATCATAACAAGAGTGATGAAAATTGTTGATGTTGCAAACTTTGAAGAAAATAAATTTTGAGATGTTTATATTGTGCATAGGCTATTGATTGAGATTCGAAAATTACTTTTGTGACAGTTATATTTTTCAAATAAGGTTGAATATGGATTATCGGTCTTAAGAAATGTTTACCAACATTACAGAAATGAGAAAATCATATAAGGTTGAATATGCGTTTGGGCACATGTCCAACACATGGGCTGATAAGCTTGATCGTGGGCAATTATTTTTACACTACTCCAATTGGTTGGTCGTCTTTTATATTTAAAGAACTTCAACCAAAAATTTTTGGTATTGTTTACTTTAACGAAAAATCATATTTTTACACTAAAAAATCAATCATAGTACTATTCACTTTACCCTTTATTTTGCCCTTATCGTTAAAACTCAAAGTTTTTAATCACTTTTTATTAGTTTTCCTTTATAATTAATGGTTTCGACACGTCAGAAATGAGTTTGAGTGATCGTTGGGATGTAGACATGCACTTTTCAATCTGTATGCATTCCATGTTAAAGGCGCTCTAAGAGAATATGAACTTAAATCTCATATATGACAATTATTGAAGAAAAAATAATTTTCCGTTGAGTTTATCAAACAGGAAAAGGATCCTTGCCGGATCGTGATCTTTCATCGTATATCGTGAGATTAGAAATCATTTCAAATTTTAAAATTTAAAATTAAATATAAATAATACATAATGAAAACTGATCGTAATATTTACGATGAACGGTCACGATTACTGGATTTCTAGGATCCCTAAGAAAGGATCATCGCCAGATCATTTTTCCTCAAACGGAGGTCGATGGAACAATGACGTGGAAAGTACTTGTTAGGCCAGAGCATTATTTAGGCCCATAAACTTTGGAAGACAAAGAAAAGCCCAGCCCAAGTATTTTTACTAATATTAGACTTTAGTACCAGAAGCGAGCTTTTGGTTTCCAAAATAGAAAGTTCATCACCGACTCTCTTCCAATTTTCTCTGATGGGGAGGCCATCATCCACCATCCACATACCGGAGAGACGACACCGTTCCGATCACGAGAACGGCCGGTACCCACCGCACTCCGACTCATCCGGCGACAACCGATACCAGCGTCGCAGCCCCAGCTACGAAAACTACGACCGCTACGACAACCGCCGCCACCGAAACCCCTCGGGAACGCCCCCTAGACGAAGCCCTAGGGGCAACGGAGGAGGCCCGGAATCCTTGGCTCGGCGTCGCAGCCCCAGCTATGAGGACTACGAGCGGCACGACAACCGCCGTCACCGAAATCGCTCGGGCTCGCCCGATTACCCGAACCCTAGACGAAGCCCTAGGGCTAATGGGGGGCCGGACTCTCTGCCGAAGAAATTCGGGCGTGGCAGGAACCGTCTGGACCGGAATGGAGGACGGGAGGAATCGGAGGAGTCCGACGAGGAGCTGAAGGGGCTGAGTTTCGAGGAGTACAGGAGGCTCAAGAGGCAGAAGCTGAGGAAATCGGGGAAGTTTTGTATTTGGGAATTGACGCCCAGCCCGCCTAGGGTTGAGAACGATGAGTTCGAATTCGTGGGTAAGGCTGATGTGATTTCGGAGCGGTATGGCGAGGAGGAGAATATTGAATCGCAGGACAAGAAGAAAGAGAAGGAGAAGTCCGAGTCTGAATCCAAATCCGATTCTGAATCGGAGGATTTGAGGTCGAGGAAAAGGAAGAAGAGTTCGGGTTCGAAGCGCAGGAGTAGGAAATCGAGATATAGTGATAGTGAATCGGAGAGTGAGAGCGAAAGTGATGATGAATCGGATGAAGAGGAGGATCGTAGAATGAGAAAGAAGTCGAAAAGTAGGAGTAAGAGAAGCAGGAGCAGAAGAGAAAGGAGAAGAAAGAGGAAGAGCAGGCGTAGTAGCAGTAGCGAGTCGGATGAGAGCGAAGACAGTGATAGTGAGGTTTCAGATTCGAAGAAGAAGAAGAAGAAACAGCGAAAGTCTCTCAGTCGGAGTAAGAAGAAAGAGTCGGAAACTGAAATGGAGAGTGAGAAATCGGACTCGGAGAAGGGTTTGGATTCTGAGGTTGATGCCATGGCTGCTACTTTAGTGGAAGAGGAGATGATGAAGGATGAGAGTAATGCGGAGGCATTGAAGTTTAAGGAGATTTTCGAGGCTCAGAAGAAGCTGTCATTGGACGATGAACCAGTGGTTGGGCCAATGCCCTTGCCTAGAGCTGAAGGGCATATTAGTTATGGTGGGGCTCTGAGGCCTGGTGAAGGTGATGCCATTGCACAATATGTTCAGCAAGGGAAGCGTATTCCGCGGAGAGGAGAAGTGGGTCTTTCGGCTGATGAGATTCAGAAGTTTGAGAACCTTGGGTATGTAATGAGTGGTAGTAGGCACCAGAGAATGAATGCCATTCGTATTAGGAAGGAAAACCAGGTTTACAGTGCTGAGGACAAGCGGGCTTTGGCCATGTTCAACTACGAGGAGAAAGCTAAGCGCGAGCACAAGGTCATGGCAGATTTGCAGCGGCTGGTTCAGCGCCATATTGGGCAGGATGTCGGACCTACTCATGACCCTTTTTCCGGGAAGGAAAAAGAGATTGCTGATGCTTAGTTTCATGTATGTTTACTTTTATCTGAAATGTCGATTTCTTTTCTCTCTTTCATGAATTATGTCATGTATGTTACTAGTTGATTTTGAGCAGTATTGAATTGGATGCATTGGTTTGTTAACATCTAGTATTGTGGTGCTTAAAGATATTAGCTTTTTATCATAGTAGATATCAAATTGTGGAAACAACAAAGCTAGTGATTGCATTCTCAGTTCTCAATTCATGCAATCTCCTACTGCAAGAAGTTGAATCTCAAGATTCTAGCAGTCACTTTTGTGGTTGATGTATTTGAGCTTCGGAATGTTTATTCGTTTTCTTTCCCTTCATCTTGTTGGAGTTTATTAGATCTAATGTATATAGAAACTGATGACTACTTGCCACATCTTGTTGGAGTTCTGTATAGATTTTCGGTGATGACAGACACTTTAAATGTTTAGGAAGGAGCTTGTACTTATTTTGAATTTGACAAGTCATGCATGAGGAATATTTGAACTGGGGGGATTTCAGTACTAAATATGTGATGGCTGAACTATGAGTAGATATCTGTTTAAATTTTTGTTTCCTTGGTGAATGAGACAGAGGCAACCAAAAAAACTGAAAATATCAGGCGTAGATAGGTACTTACAATTACAGACGTGTAATTGGTATATCGAATAATATGTGGTTGATGTAGGACAGAGTCGGGCAGCAGAATTTAATAGCTCAGCTGAAATGAAAACACTGACAACATAAACTAAAGCAATAATAAAGGATAACTGGAATCACTCCAGGGGCCTCTCACCAAGAATTTTGGCATCTCTCAAAATAATTCCATCGCAGGATAAGAATTCCAAACTTTTCTATTTATCAACTCTTCATTCCTTTTGAATACTGAATTACAAGGATATTTATAATGCCTTTAAACCGAAAGAATGCAGGAAAGTAAACTTATTATAGGATCTAATCCAAGATAGAATAGGAAATCTGAAGACTAAAACCCTAAATATTAGAATCCTAAAACACCCATTGATTTAGGAAAGCCACCACTTCTGTTCCGCATCGATAGTTGGTCATATGTATAAGTACCTCCGATTAGCAGCCAAGTACGGGTACTTTCAATCATGGACATTTTATAGGTATATCAGAATATTTGTAGCTGGTCATACAATCACTTATTCACAACCTCCTGTGGGGCTAATAGTTTTCATTTCCATCTCATGGAAAACTGTATAGACTTCTAACTAGGGACCTGTAATAGTTATAGTGTTTAAGTACTTTGTCTATGAGTTTTTGTTTTTCGTGTGTCTTTCTGCTCGATGCTATGACAGTTTGGTTTCGGTCAAAGAACTCTTTAAGTTTTTTGCAGCATGGTCTGTGGTGTATTGGTGTTTTGGAGTTCATAATTTCATGGAGCTTACTATGGTTTCTATGCTTTTCTTTCATATAACTTTGGCTTTCCAGTCTTTGAATCTTCTTTATCTTTCCCCTTTTTGTTTGTAGAGTTGAGGTGGAAAGGTAGGTTGGTTTTGACGTTTATGCTGTTTACCTCGTGTCTTTATTTATGTACTTTGTTCAAATGAAAAAAAAAAAAAAAAATCATATCATATCAGGTTTCTCCTTGAAATTTCTCACTCTATCAAGAACTCATGTTGATATGAACTCTTTTTTCAAAGAATACTCCGAACCAGAATTCTTGACGTATTTTTTACGTCCGATGCTATCTTTTTCTTGACCAATATGTAATATGTGTTCACTCGTTTATCTCAATTGTATGCAGTTGGAAGTTATGGTCTGCTTATGATACTGGAAGGTCTGGCCAATACCAAACCTATCTGAAGTTGGGATCGCCCACAGAATACAAAAGCCGGGTGCTCGCTATTTGATCACAAGTTTCTTGCGCAACAAGCACCACCCCAATAGCATCGGGCAGAGTGAGTTCGAGCATGCTAACTGGGACTTCGATGATAGGACAAAACAAACACTTTGGTGGAGATTATGAATTGAAGCTTTCAATCTTATTGCACAATACGAGTAATCACCGTGCCTCGATAGCAATTAAAGCTTAATGTAACAATGTCGAAATGAGCAAATTCGGAAACATCACCGCTGTGTTTGACGACAGTGGAGACTTTTAAGAATACAGAAGAGATGGAGTCGGATTTCTTTGACGGTTTGTACTCCTAATTTCTTGTTCAATCGAAGGTGACCAAGAGTTTCATGTGTGTAATTTTGCTGATCATGTATGTAACGATGCTTGCTTGGTATCATGACATATATTGTCTCGGTTACTTTTCTCATGGAGGATTTCGAACTCTGAACCTAGCCTATTCTTATCCGTCATTTAACCCACCGTCACCGTTGGGGTTACATTTCTTCTCCTTCCCTCCCTCGTTCACCTACTCTACATCACCACCCTTGCATTATATTCTAATCGCAGAATGCGGTGCCTGGGATTTCAGAACCCGGCCGATTGATTTTCCGGTTTGATTCTGAAACCCTCCGACCTGAAACCAGCTAGCCGGCGTCCACTTCCCTAGTCCCGAATCATCAAATCCGGCTACCCGTCTCGAGCGTCGGAACTCGATGCACGGAGCCGGAACCTCCGAAGTGGATGCACATTCATCGTACCGGTAAAGGTAAAAAAAGGTAGTAAATTGCCTTTGATTACATACAGTAATTCATTAATCCCTTTCCATCGCGCATGCTCTATAGAAAGAAAATGAGGAGAGAGAAGGGGAGAGAGAGAGAGGGGGAATGATAACTTTTTTTCATAAAAATTGCTGCTCTCTTAAGTAAGATGGAAAAATGATTGCAGACAAGACAACATCTTGATTAATTTTCTGGTAAGATTGAAATGGTCTCATTTTTTTACCAACTCTTTTGTAGGTCCATCCCTTAATCTAGCATATCTTGACTAGGTTAGTTCAATCAGTTTGTTCAAGGTGGGGCAAACCCTTCACCAAGTCGTCAAGAAACCCTCTCATTTTCATATTTATGACCAAAAAAAACGACGTTTCAGTATCGTCATCGCCTCAGTATGAGTTAAATATGACATCTCCTTCAATTAAGCAAAAACTGAATGTCTTTAGAGTTTAGACTTATTGGTCAAGTGACGTGTTGTGAACACCATATCAATATCATGTTATCGGCTCATCTTTTAGTAGAACATTTGTTATGTCTAAAGAAAGAGAGTCGAGCCTAAAATATCAAGTGTATAAGTGTATACTTTAACCACTTAAGCTACAACCTGTTATGCTAAACGCAAATTAATCACTTCCCCAACATCCATAATTATGATGATAATGGATTCTTCTGTTCCTACCAACCAAAATGCCTACAAAAAGAGGAACATATAGTGGAGTGGAGTATGTTATCCTTGGCTTAAATTTCTACCCAAAAAGCAAGAGAAAAGTATGGGTCTAAATTAAAATAGGCAGTTTTGGCACAACATTTGGGAAGGCATGGTCCCCTGTGACAGCTGACAAGCGGTTTTGGTCAAGGGCAATCTTGCCTACAAGTTCATTTCCATGCCCCATCCTAGACCCTTCATTGTCCTCTCCCTAGGGCTCTTAAGTAGGCATTAGGTATTCTTACTAATGACTCGTTGGGAACTGCCTTTCAAATAGCTGAAAGTGTTTTTTGTGAAAATATTTTTGGAACCAACTTTAGTAGATAAGTCTATACGCAAGGCATGAAAAGAATCTTATGCACAATCAAAAATAAAAATAGATTGTAAAACTAAAATAAAATAGTATATGATTATGCTTTGAGATGTGATATACACACATCTCATTTTACTTCTCACACATCTTTTTAATTTTCGACCGTCAAATCGGCACACCCCTTATGCTTTTTACTATTAGAAATCATGGATGGTGACAACAAATTGAAACCAAAGAATTAAAATGTTGGCATAACAAATGCATCACATCAATTAAACGCGCATTGCCATAAGCATGTAAATTTAGCATTATGTTGTCTCTTCCCTTTTCTTTTTTTCACTTTAACAAAACAACTTTTGATTTTTGTTGTATTTGCTAAAGAAACATTCCTTGTCTCACTTGACAAGGTGAGTAGGTGACAACAAATTATGGAAAAAGTACCAAAAAAGGGGGAAGTTCTCGCAATGCCCTCGAACTTTCAATTTGGTAATTGAGTTCCACCAATCTTTTGAAAATATCGTCAAATCTGTTAACTTTTTTTCGTCAAATTAAGGGTTATTTTCATCTGTTTGAATGGAGAAAGCAGAAAAAGCGTGATGTTTCTTATTATAAACGGCAGGTTGACACATACTTTTAAAGATTATGAGACAAGTAACCAAATCGAAAGTTGTGAAGGCAAACTAAAACAAAATCATAAGTTGTGAGGCATTGTTGAAACAAAATCATAAGTTTGTGAGGCGTTGCTGAATTTTTCTGTAAAAGATTCATGCTGAGGAAAATTTCAAATGTTGGTGTGTTTTTTATTTAAACTTGAGTACAACAAAATGAATATACTGCTCTAGTCACGTTAAAGTTTCAAATATATGTTGTTTGTATTTTCAGCTCCAAAAATGCAATGCATGTGTAATATCAATTATGACGTTTTTATTGTGTCCGAAATACGATGCGATATGTCTTATGTTAATATACAAGTAGAATGAAATTTTTTTAAGTATTTTTTTTACTTATACAATAACATATGATATATATGTCTGTATTTCGAGCCTATTGAAAAATCTTTTGTCGGTTAAAAGGAAGGAGGGGAGGGGTGGTCCCATTTATGATTCTTTCGGTTATGGACAAAGAACGAAAGAGTGCCCAATTGGCCATGAATGAGGGAGGACTTTTTTGTTTTTGGTCATTTGTGTAACGTAATATGTAAACCCAACCTTTTCCCAGCAAAATCCAAACCCTTTTGCAATTTTAAGCCCCCCCTTTCCTTTTCAGTTTATTCTCTCTCGAACCTCTCCCCATGTGACTTCATCTCTCTCTGTCAATTCAGTTTTTCAATTTCTTATCAAAATTCTGGTTCTTTTTCTGGACCTCAAAAGGCAAAATCCCAGATAAAGAATGAACAACTTTGAAGCTGCAGGTTGGAAAATCTGAATGATGGGCGCTTAGGCTCGTATCAAGTTTTGAATTTTTGAAGGTAGGTGTTCTTTTCTCTTTGGAACCCATTTTTCTGCCGCCCGCATTCTTTCATTTCACCTCAAATTGCATGCATTCGGACTGGCGGACACACTGTTCTAGCTAACTAGCGTAATTTGTCATCTATGTTGATTGGTGGAGTGATTTTCTCTGTGTAACCCATTTTTCTGCTGCCTGCATGCTTTCTTTCTCACCTGGAGTTCTTGGCAAAACTCGAAACAACCTGAAAGAAATTAGCCATCTTTCATTTCTTGATAAAAGACGATATTCTAAACAGCTCTAATCTACAGGGAGGGAATTTATACTTTGGTGCAAGAGGACGGACACGCTACCTAGTCAACTGGCATAACTCACGTTTGCAAGTTGTTATCTTGTTGTTGATCGATGCTTATGATGAGGGACTTCCCTTCTTGTTTTGGTGAAAATGGTGTTCAAGTTGCAGATTTTTCATCATCATCTTCTTCCTCAAAAGCCACAAAAGCTGCCCAGAACTTGGTTTCCTGCGTCTACCAGTGCAAATTAAAGGGCAGATTGTGTTTGATCACTGTGACATGGACCAAGAATCTGATGGGGCAAGGCCTTGCCATTGAAATCGACGATGCAGCCAGTCATTGCCTCTGCAGAGTTGAGATTAAGCCATGGATTTTCTCCAAGAGAAAAGGGTTGAAGAATTTGGAGGTGGACTCTACCAAAATTGACATCTTTTGGGATTTAACAAATGCCAAGTTTGGTTCAGGACCTGAACCATTAGAGAAGTTTTATCTAGCTCTTATGTTTGATCAAGAAATTGTTCTGTTTCTTGGGGATTTGAAGAGGGAGGATTTCAAAAGCCCTGCTGGGTCCAATTCCAAGTCCAAATCCAATTCCAATTCCAAATCCAAATCCACAGCCGAATTCGTTGCGAAAAGAGAGCACATTTGTGGGAAAAAAATTTATGGAGCAAAGGCACAGTTTTGTGATTTGGGCAAAACCCATGATGTGAAAATTGAGTGTGAAACTGCAGGTGGCCTCCATGAGGCATATCTTGTGATCTGCATTGACAGCAAGACTGTATTGCAGGTACATTTTCGAAATTAGGATTCAGTCAATCAATATTTTGTGCGTTACAAATAAGTTAATGGGTGCCTGCCTAAGTCGTAAGTGGGGCATTGACCTAAGTTGAAAAACAAGGTATCCACTCACGAAACCAGAAATATGAAATTATTTTATTGACCTAAACATTTCGTGATGCAGGTGAAGAGGTTGAATTGGAAGTTCAGAGGCAACCACACAATTGTGGTAGATGGGATGAGAGTTGAAGTGTTTTGGGATGTGCACAATTGGCTGTTTGGGAATTCAATGGGAGATGCAGTTTTCATGTTCCAAACTTGCCTCAATGTTGCTGCAGATGAAAGCAAGAATTTATGGACTGGTTTGCCAGTTCTGGATCCTTCTGTGTTCACTTGGTCTTCTTCCTCTGAGCAGTTGAGAGAGAACCAGTTGCAGGATTTTGGGTTCTCACTGGTTTTGCATGCTTGGAAGAATGAATAGAAGTAGAAAAGCAAGAAGTTATGTTTTCAGTTTTTGGGGTTTTACAAATACTTAGGCGTCAAAATCGAGCGTAGTAGTGTTTTAGGATTCATACAGCCGACCTCACTTAATGGAGTAAGGTTTTGTTGTTGTTGTTATTATTGTCGGGGTTTCACAAATACTTGAAATGAAATTTATGTTTTTGGCTTGGAAAATAACCTTATATATACACAAACTATGAGTCTTTACTCTCTTGTTTTATATCAACATAATTGAAGGATATTGAATTTCGCTTCCGATTCTCTTTTTCTTGACTCTTCTCTTTATTTTCGTTATTGATTCTCCTTTAGCAATTTCATATCAATGGTATAAACAAAGAGAGAATGCAAGGGGAGAAAAGGTGAGTGCAGGAACGCAAATTTGGTTGAATGCGAATGACAAAGTATCACCACTTTTATATCATTTATTATCATTGTTCACGCTCCATTGAAAAAGAAAAGAGAGTGCAAATACAACATGTAGCTAGAGTGGTTAAAAATTATGTGTAGATATATGCATTATTCAGTGGTTAGGACAAATTTTAGAGTTTAACTATCGAATCACGTAGTTATGCAGCTACACACATAGAA